TGTCTTTTATGCACCAGTGAGTCGCATCTGAAACTGGAATTGAATTTTGATGGATGGTTAGAATTCAGAAAGGAGGAAAAAGAGAGAGGGTAAATCATAAAAGTCAGAGAATCACACTAAATCTGAAATGGAGGGAACCTTTGAAATCATTTATCTAGTTCAGAGATTCTTAACCTGGAGTTTCTGAATATATATGTTTGCCTGTATATATGTATGAATGCATATATGTTTATATACATATACTTGTATATGTATCTGGGTCTATATTTGTGTGTATCTGTATATGTATGTGTGTATATATGACCATATATTTGTATGTGTATCTGTGTATTTATGTTTGTATTATGTGTTTGTATGTATTTATGTATGAGTATATATGGGCAGGTAGGTGGCATGGTGGATAGAGTGCTGGGCCTGGAGTCAGGAAGACCTGAGTTCAAATCTGGTCTGAAACATTTCCTAGGAGTGGGACCCTGGGCAAGTCATGTAACCTCTGTTTGTCTGGAAATGGCAAACCATTCTAGAATCTTTGCCAAGAAAATGAAGTATTGGCATGCTATGGTCCATGGAGTCATGAAGAGTTGGACAAAACCAAACAACATGTACCAGGCACTGTGCTAAGCACTTTACAAATATTATCTCATTGGATCCTTACTACAACCCTGGGAAGTAGATGCTATTGTTATCCCATTTTACAGTTGAAGAAACGGAGGCAAACAGGGTTAACCGACTTCCCCAGGGTCACACAGCTAGTAAGTGTCTGAGGTCAAATTTGAACTCCAATCTTCCTGACTCCAGGCTCAGCAATGATCTGTCCACTGTGCCATTTAAAGAAGAGGAAGATCTTTATAATCTCTTTCCCAAAGCCGCCATCCTAAAATAAGAGACTCTCTCAGACTTCACACAAAGTTGTTTGGGAGCAAATAAAAGAAAGTCAGGATATTTCTATGCCCCTGGAAAAGGTATCTAACCCTGTTATAGAAACACTTGTTAACTGCCTACTGTATGTAGTGCACTGTGCTTAGATAAGCACTGCCCTCAGGGAGAAAAAAATCTCTTAACTATTAGAGAAATCCAGCGGTAGAATTGACTGAGTCAACTTGATGTTAAGATCAGGGAGGGGAGATGGTCAATCCCTTAATCACTGAACTATCCAAAAGGAGGATTGGCTGCATCTCTGCAGGTCTGCAACCCAAGGCTCTGGGATCACTTGGCAAGGTTGGTGTAGGTTGTAGTAGGGATTGCTAGTTGGGTGTGAGTTGGACCATTATCCTCCAAGGTCCCTTCCAACACTAAGAGTTTCTGATTGATTCTGTGAGCAATCAGATAGATCTGCAAGCAGCCATTAACTCTCCTCTGTAGGGAATTCTTGCTCTTAATTAGACTGTGCTCCTCTAGTGAAGTCCTCACTATAGGACTCATTGCAAAATGAAGGTGATCTTGGCCTCTGGAAGGCTGTGGCAACAGAATGGAGGCTTTTACGGGTCCTGCCCATCTGGAAAGGCTCCAGGCTGGGATCTGGCAATGGCCATTGGGTCTGTTGTCTGAGGGGCAGCATAGTTGAGGGCTTGAGAGGCTTATTCTCAAATAGCTGGTAACCAAAGCATGGATTGTCTGACCACAGCAACTCATGAAGGAAGCTCTTTTACTAAGGTGGAGATTGGGGGCGGGGCAGTATCAGGAGAATGGTCACAGTTCGCTGTCACTAGATGGCATCAACGGCACTTTAGGATATTATTTGTTATCAGGAGTGAGGCTTCCATGTCCAATTGGTATCTAGTACATGCCAAGAGATGTAGATGAAGGGTGGACTCCCCCTCCATGCCTTGAACTGCCCCCTTCCATTTCCAAGAGGACTTGGACAAAAATCATACGGGATGAGAAAGGTCAGGAGGGGATACTATTGGGGGTGGTGGTGGAGGTTTACTCATATTAGTGAGACCTCAGATTCATGGAAGTCTTTACATGGAGGTGTATACCTGATTGGTATGGTTTAAGTGTGTGACTGTGCAAAGGCAAGAGGATGGAGCATATTTTTTCTTGAGGTCTGCTCTGTTTCTATTTAAGTGGGTAGACTAGAATTGATAACCTTGGATCAGAAATGGGAGTGCTGTCTGGACCTGGGGAATGCTCGTTAAGGGATGACAGTGTCCAAGGACTTTATGGGATAGTAAAGGTTTAGAGTGGGTTGGCTTCTTCCCATTGGTAAGCCCAGATCTCTCCAGATCCATTCCTTTTCAAAATTAATTAATTAGCAGGTCTCTAAAGGATATCTACTCGTCCAAGTATCAGCCAACGCATGTGATTATTAGCTCTAGGAAGTGATTGAGAAGTTGCTAGGAGACCTATCTTAACCCAAAAGAAAACAACTTCTTATCAGTTGGAGCTGATGTACAATGTGATGCGCTGCCTTAGGAGGTAATACTCTGTATATTATAATACATGTATACACAAATGTGTGTGATATATATGTATATATGTGTGTATATATAATATATTTTGTATTTTATATATAACACACAGATATACATATTATATATTTAACATTTGCAAAGCATTTTTCTTACAATAATCCTGGGAAGTAGAGAGTTATTTTCCCCCATTATACAGATGAGGAGAGTGAAGATAAGAGAAAGTAAGCAACTTGTGCATGGTTGAACAGTTACTATCAGAGTCAAGATCTTAAATCCAGCTCATTTTCCACTGTAATGAGCTCACTGCTACAGGAGCTATCCAAATAGAGAATGGATCCTTGTCAGGGATGTTGGAGAGGGAATCCTTGCATCGTATAGAGAATTGGATTAAGTGAGTTCTAAGGTCTCTTCCAGTTTTGAAATTCTACTATGATTGAGAGGTAGTGTGATATAGTGGAGGGAGACCTGGGTTTGGAGTCAGACAGAGGCTGCTATTCACTTTCCATGTGCCCCTGGGCAAGTCATTACACCTCTGTGGACCTCAATTTCCTTGTCAAGAAAATAATGAGGTTGGACTGGAAGATGGCATCTTGGGATTCCTGCCAGCTCTACTTCCTTAGTCTTTCTTTGGCAGCTTTTTCCAGGAAGCATTCCCTGATCTCTCCCTGCTCTGAGCTCTACAGACCTCTTCTTCTGTATTTCTCATCTGGCTTTAGGGTAGATTGACTGGTATTTTATGTTGTATTTCTCACTTTCTAGGTCTGTAGCATTAAGGGCACTTAACTATAAGTCAGGAGAACCAACTTTGAATCCTGGCTCATTAATTTGGATTAGTTACTTCCTCACTCTGGGCTCCATTCACTTTCCCCAGATGTAAAATGAATAACATTGGAACCCACAAGATCTCTAAGCTTCCTTCCGCTTCTAACATTTCCATCCCAGAAAAACACAATCCCCAAACAATCTAGCCATCTATCTATCTATCTATCTATCTATCTCTCTATCTCTCCTTCCCTTTCTCCTTCCTTCCCTCTATTTCTCCCTCTCTCCCTCTAGCTACCTCTCCCTTCCTCCATCTATCATCTATCTATCCCTCCATCTATGTATCTGTCTGTCTTTACATACAGAGAGAGAGAGAGAGAAAAAGAGAGAGAGAGAGAGAGAGAGAGAGAGAGAGAGAGAGAAAGGTATTTTACAAAGCCCAGCACCTATGGGAAACAGCCCATTTGAAGTGGCCCTAGAGTACTTTTCCTTTTATCCTCTTTGCCTTCCCTCATGCTGGGAGTTCCAATCCCATCCCACCCCTCCAAACTGCTCTTGCCAACATCCAGTCCCCTGCACTCATGGAAGTGAGTGTCAAGGGTTCCTTTTTGCTCCGTGCCACAGGAACACAGAATTGTCTGAACTGGATAGGACCTCTTAGGTCATCTAGGCCGACTTTCTTGTGCACTTGAAGAAACTGAGGTTCAGAAAGGGGATGCCAGTCAACAAACATATTAAATGCCAACTGTGTGCTAGGCACTGTGTAAAGTGGATACTTAACAGCATCCCCACTGTGCTGGGGATTCAAAGGAAGGCAGAAACAGTCCTGCCCTCAAGGGACCTTACAAGCTAATGAGAAAGACAACATGCAAGTGTAACTATGGACAAACAAGCTATATCTAGGTGGTGAAGTGGACAGAGTACTGGGACTGAAGTCAGGAAGACTCTTCTAGAGTTCAAATCATACTCACTAGCTGTGCGACACTAGGCAAGTTACTTAACTCTGCCTCTGTTTCCTCATCTGTAAAATGAGGTGGAGAAGGAAATGGCCACCCCAGTATCTTTGCCAAGAAAATCCCAAATAAGGTTGAAAAGAGTCAGACACGATTAAACAACAGCATATCTAGCTATCATTTATCTACCTAATGTATCAATCAATCCATCTATCTGCTTAGCTATCGAGAGTAACTTAGAAATCAGAGAGAAGGCATTATCATTAAGGAGGATCAGGGAAGGCTTTCTTGTAGAAGGCGAGATTTTAGCTGAAACTTAAAAGAAGTCAGGGAGGTCAGGAGCATCCCAGGCCAGTGAAAATGCAGAGTCAGGAAATGGAGAATTTTGTGGAAATAACAGCGAGGAGACCAGAGGTCACTGGAAGTCTTTCTTAGGGTTGTATACACAGTAAGAATCACAGAATCACAGAATGTCAGCTCTGGGAGAGACCTTAACATTCATCCAAACCCTTCATCGCATAGAGAAATGAGACTGAGAGAATGTGATTTGCTTACGGTGGTACTTGTCAGCCAGAACCGGGGCCAGATTGCTCTCAGATCCAATTCTCCTTACTTCAAACCAGGCTTCCTCCGTTGTATATCCCTCCCCTTAATATCACCCCGCCTTCCGCCCCCCTCCCCAAGGCCTGTGGCCCAGCACTAACTCACACCCCACTAGAGGAAGATGATTCAGGTTCTGGCTGCCCCCCAGAGAAGTAGAGTCACGCGCATTTCCCTGAACGCCTCCCCCTCTAGGACCCAGCGCGCTCTCAGGGCGAGGGAGGGGGAAAGGGAGGGAGGGGGAGGTGGCTGAGATACTAGGGACGTAATTTAAAGCAGAAGTTGTCCCAAGTCGGGATTACTGACTGCTCCTCTCCAGGGTCCCGGTTTCCTTGTAACCCGTCTGCTCCCTCTAAAGCCTGACTCTGCGAGGGGAGGGATGCTCAGAGGGTTCCCCGAAGTGAGGAAGGGAGGGCTGGGGAGCAGACAGACGGCCCGGAGCCCTAATAACGTCGGGGCAAGATGAGCGCAGGGTTTCGGGAAGACAAACGGCGCCCCTGCTGAGTAAGGTAAGCGCGCAATGGGGGCTCCCTGGGACCCTTTTCCTCCCTTCCCCAGCGCCCCCCACCTCCTGTCTCTCTCAGACCTTATAATCCCAAACTGTGAGAAGAGGCGGTTGGGCTTCTGAAACCTACAACACGGGCTCGGAAGCCTTGCGCTTTTTTCGGGGAGGCCGGGTGAGTGGGGAGGGGGGCTAGTGAGCAATTGCCACTGGAGTCTGAATGCCCAGGTTCAACACTGACTCTCCAAGTGATCTTGGACCGGTCACTTTCCTTCTAGAAACCTCAGTTTTCTCCTCTGTCAAATGGGGATATCTGGACCACTTCTTCAGCTGGGCTGCTGTTGGGGGAAGTACTTTTAAAACTGTAAATCGTAAGGGGAATGAGAACTATTCCTGAAGCTACTTCCCAGATCGGGAAGAGGAGCTGAGTCTCTCCGCGGGTGCTGGGTAATACCCCTTTCCCAGCCAACTCTGCTCTTTCTTTCCTTGTTAACTCACCGGTGAAACAGGTTGGAAACATACTCCTAACCCGCGTAGCCTGTGGGAAAGTTGGGGGCCAAAGGGCCGGAGTTAGAGCCCCCTTGGGTTTGTTGAGGGTAAGGTACCCAGATTTCATCGCAGGGAACCTGATCTAGGTGACCAAGGCAGCACGTGACCCTGGAGCAGATGAATGGAGGTGGGTTGGAAGCAGGATCTGTGATGCCTGGGGACTGTGGGCTGGATGGGGAACTCTCAGAGCTAGACAAGAACTTAAAATGTAGAGTTTTAGAGTTGGACGAAACTTAAAAGTCATTCGGTCCAGCCCCCTCGTTTTATAGATGGGGAATCTGAGGTCCAGGGTGGGCAAGTGATTTGTCCAAGCAGACAAGGACATGAGACGAGTTAAGCTTCAAGTCCTCCCCAAGGCAGCCCCTGAATTGGTAGATGGGTCAACCTCTTATCCTGTACTGAACTTCGGAAAGAACATAAATTACTTAGTACCCCAAAGACTTTCCTGGGCTCTCTCTTTCTGTACTCTCCTCCCCAGCCTCATCTGCGACCCCTCCCCAATACCTCCATCCTTTACTACTCTCTTGAGCCAGTCTCTAGGGTCTCTGTCTCTGTCTCTGTCTCTCTCTCTCTCTCTCTGTCTCTCTGTCTCTCTCTGTCTCTCTGTCTCTCTCTCTCTCTCTCTCTATGTATATATATATATATATCTTCAGCTCTGACCACTCCCTGGATCTGGGTCTCCATCTGTCTATGAATATGTCTTCCTGGATGTCCCACTAGCACCTCAAAATCAACATCCTCCAAAGTGAACTTACCATCTTACCCCATAAACCTGCCTGTCCTTGCAGTTTCCCTGTTTCTGTTCAGGTATCCACCATCTCTCCCAGGCTCAAAACCTAGGAGTCTTGGATTCTTTCCTCTCCCTCTCCCTGACCTTCAACTTGACTCCCTATTGCCTACTGTCGCTGAACTCCTTATCCTCAGTCTGGCAATCTGGGTCTTCCACACCCAGGCTCCAACCTACCTCCTCAGCCTCACTTCCCCTTACTCCACTCCATGTCCTAAGCCAAAGATGAGCTGACCTGGCCAGACTGGCTCGTACTCTCCTACCCTTGTGCCCTTCTCACACATTTCTTTTCTTCCTGGAATGCCCTCTCCCCACCACGTCCTCTGGTTCAGACTCTAGCTCTTTGTCCCCCTCTTCATTTCCCTGGCTTCCTTCAAGACTCAGTTCAAAGCCCATCTTCTGCAGGAGGCCTTTCCCTGCCCCATGCCAGCTGCAAAGGCCTTCCCCCTCTGACAGTGCCTTCCATCTACTAGTTCTATTTCGTGTTTATACTTGGTTGTTTACCTGTTGTCTCTCCTATTAGAATAGAAGCTCCTGGAGGGCAGTCTGTTTTGCCTTTCTCTGTGTCTCCACTGCTCCAAAGAGAGCCTAGAACACAGGAAGTGCTCCATAAAAGCTGGTTAACTTGGCTCAGAATTCAGTCCATCCCCGCTAGGAAGCCTTCTTGGACCGAGGACCGATACATATATTATCTGCTTCACTTCTGAATCTTCAGTAGAACTTTGTTCTCTCCTTCTCCCTCCTATTGTAATTATTGTGTGTCTCTAGCTTACCTCCCAATGAATTGTAAACTCCTGGAGGACAGGGAAGGTTTCTTTGATCTCTTTCCCGCCCCTCACCCCCCACCACACTGGGCCTGGCAAGTAACCTAGAGGTACTTACTTAATGTTAATTGGATTGTATTAGCCCAGTTTTTCTTTTGAGGTGGGAAAGTGAGAAAGGCAGAGAGGTATTGTCCAGTGTAGGGTGGGCCTCCATTGATTATCCTCCCTAAAAAAGAATTATGTAAGGTAAGAACACTTTTTGATTAAAAAGAGCTACTTATTATGCCTGGCTGTTAAGCGTCTACTGATATTCTGGGGTTTACAGGTGAGGAGACTCAGAAAGGGACAGAAAGGGATAGAAAGGGATAATGATTTACTGGAGGCCACACAGCTGAGCTGTGCATCAGACCCATATCCCCAGACTCCTAGAACAACGGGTAACAAGAATACAAAAAAAAAAATTTTTAAAGAAAGTGCTTTCTTTACAATTTATTTTACTATGAGGTCAGTAGTACAAGTGCTGTGTTCTCCATTTTAGAGATGAGGAAACTGAGGCTTAGAGAAAGAAAAGTGACATTCTTGGGGCCCCTCCAAACCCAGATCTCCTGTCTCTGAGGCCAGAACTATCCCATGACATCACAGGTGATGTCTATACACATAAAATATCCTTCTTTTCTAGGTGACTTTCTAGACGGGGGTACAGTACATAAAACACAGGACTTGCAATCAGAGGACCTGATTGTGAAGTCTAGTTCTGAGGTCTATTATGTCGCCATCAAGGAATCATATCAACTCCCTGGGCCTCAGTTTCCTTATCTATAAAATGGAGAATGTAATACTTGAGATTTAATAAACATTTATTAAGCCCTTACTATGTCGGTTAATAAGCATTTATTTAGCACCTACTATGGGCCAGGCACTGTGCTAAGCACAGATACAAAGAAAGGTAAAAGTCTCTGCCCTTAAGGAGTTTAATGGAGGAGACAACATGTAAATAACTATGTAGCAAATAAGATGGGTACTGGATAAATTGGAACTAATCGATACAAAGAAGGCATTAGAATTAAGTCAGGAAAGGACTGCTGCAGCTAGGTCGCGAAGTGGATGGAACCCCCTGGTCCTGGAGTCAGGAAGACCTGGGTTAAAATGTGACTTCAGAATTTACTAGCTATGTGACCCTGGGCAAGTCATTTAACCCTGTTTGCCTCAATTCCTATCTTTAAAATCAGCTGGAGTAGGAATGGCAAACTATTTTTGTATCTTTGCCAAGAAAACCCCAAGTGGGGTCATGAAGAGTTGGACACGACTGAAAAATGACTCGACAATGAGAAGTTGAAATTTTAGCTGGGACTTAAAGGAAGCCAGGTGATAGAAATGAGGAAGGAGAGCATTCCAGGCATGGGGAACAGTGAGAGGAAATGCCCAGAAGTCAGGAGATGAAGCACCAGCCATGTAACCAGTATCACCGTGTCATAGAGTACATGGCAGGGAAGTGGTGGTATAAGGTATGAGAGGACTGGAAGGCTGTGTGTGTGTGTGTGTGTGTGTGTGTGTGTGTGTGTGATGAAGGGCTTTGAACACCAAACAGAGGATTTTATATTTAGTCCTGGAGGTGATTGGGAGCCACTGGAGTTTATTGTGGGGGGGGCCTAGGGGAGGAGACATAATTAGACCTGCCCTTTAAAGAGATCATTTTTAACAGTTGAGTTGAGGATGGACTGGAGTGGATGGATGTTGTGAGGAAAGTGTCTTCTAAAATTTAAAGCACTGTAAAACTGAACATTTTTTAATTGTTATTTTTGTTGCCTGTCATCTGCTATTCCAGATGGATAGTAATCAGCAGGGCCAGCTCCACCTTCCTCCCACCCAATCAAAAAAAAAAATGAGAAGACAAAGTTTGTCTCTGCTCTATCTACTTCCCACAGGAGGAGGAAGATGGGGATGCCTTACGGTGTTAGGGAAGGTTTCAGTTCAATATTAGGAACAACAATTGAAAAATAGAATTCACTCCATGTCACTGGTGGTTATGTTCAGACAGGGGCTGAAGATCACGTATTGGGGAAATTGTGGACTCAGTATGGATGTTTGAACTAGGTGTGACCTGTACCTTCCCTTCTAGCTCTGAGATTGTAAAATTCTAGGATCCCTAACTTCTCCAAGAATCTCTTGATCTAGAATTCGGGCGTTCTAAGTTTCCAAGACTAGAAGTTTGGCATTCTGAGATTCTAGATTCTAGAACAGGGTTTTCTTTGTTATTACTCCTTTCAAGGACTCTTACTTGCTTTTGCCTTGGGCCTGTGAGACACCTTGTTTGTGGCGAGCCCTAGGAGGCAAGGTGCTGCTGTGCTCTGTGGAATTAAATGTTGTTTGGTGCGTTTTTGTTTTTTTAATATTCAACAAAAATAAGTCCAGCCTGGGATCTTATACATGTTATATATGGTTTCAGTCAAGTATGTGACTCAAGATCTGCTCTGATATAGAATCTCAGTCGAGGTAGAACATAGGCTGGTTGGCACGATAGATTGCTGCACCTGAAGTAAGGAAGATCTGAGTTCAAATTCTGCCTCAGACATTTATTAACTGTGTGATCCTTTTAGCCTCTGCCTCACTTTCCTTATTTGTAAAATGGGAATACTAATAGTACCTATCTTCCAGGGTGATTGTGAGGATCAAATGAAATAATATATGTAAACTCTTTGCAAACTTTAAAGTGCCATATAAATGTTTATTACTATTACTACTACTACCAACTACCACCACTACTACTATCACTACTTACTACTACCACTATTACTATCACCACCACTACTACTATTACTAGTACTACTACCATCATCACTACCACTACCACCAACTACCACCACCACTACTATTACCACTAGTATCACTTTACCACTACTATCACCA